CAGGAGGAGCCCAATGATGGTGCCAACTTGGGCCAGTGAAGCAATGTCCTCCACAACTAGACTGAAGAACAAAACGACAGCAACTTGTCTGTTCCTCTTCTCCCAATTCCCCAATAAAAATCTTTAAAAAAAAACAAAAAGAAGAGATAGTGGGAGGCTACGTTCATCTTGGACCCTCAATAATTACATAAATTAACAATAGTAACAATATGACTGAAGATATTGGCAACATGAACAAAAGTGGTATATAATAGAAACAACTTAATCTTGATTCAGATATATCATAAAGAGTATTTAAAATATATGTATGTCATTTTCAAACACTTAAGAAAATGAAGTTCTTTTTAAAAATTATAAAAATTTACCATTTTAGAAATAAATATCATTTTAAAAGTGATAATTATAATACTTTTAAAGTGCTGATATGATGACAACCTTCTTAATTTGGCATCATGTCTTAGTGAGTCTGCATCTGTAATCCTTAAGGGAGACACCGTGTTAAATACTAGTAGATCTAAGACCAATAGTCATTAATGTAAACAAATTTCTCCATGTGCAACATCAGCTAGTCTGTGAATTTTCTTAATAAGTCCATAATTATGAATAGTTTTCACACTGACATACTTACAAATACAGAGTCACAGTCAGAAAAGTAGCAAGCGGTCAGGTAACAAATGTTATACACATGATAATTATTCAGAGTGACACAAGGGGAAGAGAACTCTGATTATTACCTGGGCTTGTCTGGTACATCAGAAGGATTACTGCAAAATGGTTCCTGGTAAATAGTTTCTGAAAGGTCATGATCAAACAAAGTTGCCATAATTTCTTCCCTACTTGGTGGGGACATAAGTGGTTTCAGAATGTGAGCAGTTCGAGGGGTGAAACTGCCATTTTTAGATTGTGAGTGAGAGCTGGTAGACCTTGGTGAGCTATCAGGAGTTGGTGTCAATATATCATTATTTCTTGAAACATACAATTCTAAATCTTCAGAGGCTGCGTCCACAAGTTCACCATCAGGGGAGGATAGTATTGTAGTAAAAGAGGTATTGGCTGAGTCGAGAGACTGTTCCATTTCCTTTCTGGTATGACCCTGAATCCAGTCTGAAGTGCCGGGCTGAGAGAGGCTGAAGAACACTTCTTTGCTTACAGAACTCCTATTCAATCTGGATTTTTCATTTAGACAGTCCTCTGCCTGCTGGACACAGAAAGAATCCATTATTGAATTAGACCGAGCTGTTAGAGGATGAAAGCTGTTTTTCCACTGGTTGTGGTGATGGCTCTCATTGCTCTCTAGGGATGATTTCTCAAACAGTTCCGGACTCAGTGTACCAGATTTAAGCCATGAGGTTGAGTCTGAGGTCAGATGTTTGTCTTCATCACACTTCTGGTTATCGTGACTTAAAAACTCAGTTTTGTCGATTGTTTGCCCTGGGAAAAGATCCTGGACTGCATCACTTAGAAATTTCTGAGGCAAATTCTGATCAGCAGGGACAAACTGACTTCCAGAATAAAAGCTACAAAATCCAGTTTGACCGATTGTATTAATATCGAAATTGTAATTGTGTTCAGGAGACAAGCTATCTTCAAGTGAATAACAACTTTCAAAACCTGGATCTGAAAAAAAGATGGGACTGTCATCCGACTGGGAGTTCTCCAACTGGCCAGAGTTTTGTAAAATTAGGGAGTCTACTTTAAGTTTGGGGATTTTTTCTTTAGGTTTTATACTTCTGGGGGCTCGAGGTTTTCTTGGAGATGTTACTGATCGTGTTCGTTTAATTGTCTTGTTATGCTCAAGGGAAACAGAAATATTTTTGTTTGGTTGATGTTTAGTAGATAACGGGTCTTGCATAATATTTGCATTTTGTGCTTTCTGCTGTCTTTTCTGTAACAATTCTTTTAGAACTGCCAGTCCAGACTGTCCTTCACCAAATGCTGACGGTGTTGACACACTTTGATTTTTACACTGGGAAAGTGCTTTGGTTTGTGAAATTGCTTCTGCCAATGACCTCTGTCTTACCCTTTCAGGTTTAAAATTTGACATACCTAAAATAAAGCCCCTTTGTTTCTGCTCCCATGCTATTTGTTTGATTGGACTTCTCAAGGAAGTTACAAAGCAATTATTAGGCATCTGGCTTTCCTCTGAAGCTGCATTTCCTGGAGAACAAGTTTCGCTGTGCTTTGACTGTTCTGCCATGCACACAATCTGCTGTGGACTGTCTTTGCAATGCAAAAAATTAGGGGCATACGCCGGGTCAGCCTTTGATTCTAGGGAATTATGAAATTCATTTAACTTTCCGATAGATGACAAATAGTTCTTTTGTATATTTGCATTCTCTTCTGTCTTTGGAGACATTACACCTGAAGATATCTGTGTATTCTGTGCTACCTGAGACAAATGGTTGGAAAGGTCAAATATACTTTTTTGATTCAAGGTTGATTCCTTTAGAGTAAACATAGCACTTTGACTATGAGACCTCTGAACATTAATTTTTGAGATTCCAGGTCCCAAAGAGTTACAAACAACGGATGAATGCAAATCATCTCGGGAACCGGGGAATGTCTGCAAATCTACAGGTTTCTTGCTTTCTAAGAAAGAAGAAAAGCAGCCGGATAAATTCTGTTGTGCATGAATTCCAGTGGTTTGGGGGGCAGAAATAGGATGATCCATAGCAGAGCCCACTAGTGACACATCTTTCTGTTTAAAAAGTAGTTGAGAGCCTCCAGAACTATTTGAGGTCTCAGACACATGCTCATGTTTCAGCACAAACTTAACTTCAGCACCAGACTGAGATTTTATTTTTTCATCTTTAAGTGTTATATGCTTTCTCGATGTAACTTTCTCATTTGTTTTTTGTTTCTGTTTTGCCCTCGGTTTCTTTTTTCCATCATCAGCTAGTTTATTTGTCTGATTTCGTTTGTTCCTTTTCTTAGTAACTGCAGAGGGATTAACAAGCTTTGTTTTGGATTTCTTCACCTGTGCTCTTGCTCGGCTATTTTTTTCTATACGGGAGTTAACAGTCTTGCTATTACATGCATTAGGACCCTTAAAAATCATTGCTTCTTTATTTGCAGCAGCCATAATTTCTTCAGCTCTTGGATCTGTGGGAGACCAGCAGCGAGGTGGAGAGGAATTTATGGGACTTGTGCTTCTCTCAGAAAGAAAACCTAGTTTAGACATTACATCACTATAATTCAAGTCACAGTCTTCGGTTTCAGCATTATAAGATGGTGTAGGAGGAGAAAGAATAGCATGTGATCGTTTTTTCCTGAAAGACAAAGTTCTTTTAATATTTTCACTATTTGTCCTTTGATGCTTACCAGCTTTTTTCTTAGCAGACTTATGCTTCGTTTTTCTTCTGTGACTTTTCTTTGGTGTTAGTGGATAAATGGGATATTTGGTTGCAGGGGAGTCAGGAACTTTTGGCCAAAAATCCTTCAAAGGTGCAAGCTTTTTATATAGTTCCATTTTTTCCTCTGTTAATAGTACTTGTTTTTCTTTAGAGTCTATTTTTCCTAGCTTCACAAGCATATTTTTTCTCCCTCTAAATCTATTAATAATGATATACTTTATGATGACAGGGGGCAGCTTTTTAGACATTTTTCTTCGTTTTCGAGATTTGAGAGTTCCATCTAAACTTTCACCAATTTCCATAGGATGAGGTAGGCTAATTTTTGAGTTGTGTGTTACAAAACTTGACTCACTATCTTCAGTCTCATAGTTTACCTTGCGTTTGGCTCTAAGTGTGTATTTATTTCCATATAATCCAAAGGACTGCTCAGTTTCTAAGGTTCCATCTCCAAAATGACAGTCTATAAAACTGTCTGCAGGTGTTTTATTTTCAAAAGCTCCACGGGTGACTTTAATTAAATCGCTGGCCAATACATTATTCTTCTCAGAATTACTATTGCAAGGATTATTTTGTATACAATTATCTTTTGTGGATCCACTCTCACTAGTTTTGGTAGAAGTCTCTTGATGACCTACAAGTTTCTTTTTATTCATTTTTAACCGAGACTGTTTATTACTGGGTTGTAGCTTGTATGTGACAGGAGAGAGTTTTTGTGGTCTACTGAGACAATTAGAAAGAACGACACTGGGAAAAAACATATAATGTGCTGCTTGCTGGCTGAGGCTTGGCTTTTCTGTTTTATGCTCTTGAAATTCTTCATATCTAATTTTAAGTTTATTTAGTCCGCTTTCATCAGCAATGCTATCAAGAGAATGTACCATAGTTCTATTAGCCCCTGAGCAAGACAGCAATTCACAATTTTCTGTTAACGATGAAGGGAATAAACTATTCAGAGTTGTGCCATTTCCTTTTTCATTTCCTTCACAAGATATTTTATTTTTTGAATGACTTAAGTCAGAAAAGTTGAAAGAACTTTTGCTCAATGTACTTTCGCTAGTGTGACGGTTCATATGTATAAAAGGGGCATCCTTATCAATTTTTCTGATGTTTGTATACTTTCTACTTGGTGCTTGTCTTGTAACAGATGGAATATCTTCTTCATAGTCAAAAATACTACTTTCACAGGAAGATACTGGGAGGATATCTTTCTTAGTGCTTTCTTTATGAGCATTTTCTGAATGGACAGTACTGCTTAAAGATCCAGGGTATTTCATAGAGTAAGTGCTTTCATTTGTAAAAGAAGCAGCTGAATGATCTAGACCTTTTTCTATGTTGTTTGGCTGTGATAGGTCTTCAATTAAATCTTCCTTGTTCAAAACATGGGAAGAAAGGGCACTTGTGTGTTTACACTGAAAGGTAATCTTAGCAGAAGATGGGGGTTCTAATGTAGCAGCATCTTTGTGAAAGATGGAAGGTTTTACTGATAGCTTGCTTGTTGCAATCACAGAAGAGTGTGTTCTAGAATTTTCATTGTTCAGTGGATTGTCTGAAAAGGGGGAGAAAAGATTTTATTTCACTTCCACTCTTAATTTTAAAAATATTCTCCCATACCATGATACTATCACCATCGAAGAAATTATAGGAAATTGTTTGTATGTTTAATATGGTTATCTCAACAAAATGATTATGCCTATCACTGGGATAATGACTCAATCTAAATAAACAAGTGTTAGTTACATTTAATTATTAGTCATTATTTTAAACACATTCTTTTGATCAGAAATAGATTATATTAATATTCAATGCTTTTTAAGAGAATAAAGAAAAAAGTACTGTCACCTTGAAAAATTTTCACAAAATAATATGTTTTCTATTTTTACTTCAAATAAGCTGAGCATATTTCTTAGTGTCTTATGCTACAATACTTAAATGTTAACATTATAAACTGTTTAAAATTTATGAAGCTTTAAATCAGTGATTAACAAACATTATCCTCTTAAAAATGAGAAAGAATCATATATCTACAATCTCTCGAAAGAAAAAATACTGGAGGACAAAATACTGAAGGACAAAATACTGAAGGACAAGGTATAGCTGGTAGCCAATAAGAAATACTGGAGGACAATCTATTACAGTAGTGTTATAGACTCAATCAGCTAACTATATAGGAAATATAATTATAACTTCAAAATCAAATATATTTTAGCCTCTAAATTATGAAATGCTTACAGTAGAAATGCTTACAGACTTGTTTACTTACCACTGTTTTCATCTGCAGTTCCATCTAACTGAGGTATAGAAAGATTGGCTAGAAACAAACTATTACTCCATTCCATTTCTTCCTCTGAAGATGAATCATCTTCTTCGGATGAGCTTCTGTGAGTGTTTCGGCACAGTGATCTAGAGAATATGAAGATTCACTAGTGAGTACGATCATTAGGAAAAAGCATGTCAGTCTCAAATAACTTGCCTAATTTGATGCTATAGTAGTAAAATTTAACAAAGAAGATCTGAAAATCACAACTTTAAAAAGCAGCTTTAGTACCATGTCCTACAAAAACTTATTGTAAATAGATTTTATAATCCCTTTGATATGAGCTAGAAGACACGATCATTACTATACTCAAAGCTTTACAATATCCTGGATCATATCTAATCATGTTCTTATATTCTCTCCTTATCCTATCATTAGATATATACATATAACAGTTTGGGTGAGAGAGAACCCAGTAATTTCTAAAAAGGTGGCATCTGACATATTTTTAAGAAGTCCCCATAAACACACAATCACTACATTATGAATTGGAAAAAAAAACAAAACAAAAAGGTAAGCAAAGGAGTATTTAGGTCAGGGCTGAACAAAAAATAACAGGGATCAGAGAGGGGCTAGGAAGTAGTGAGGTGTTGAGTGAACCCAGCAGTGGCTATAAAGTAGGGTTACTAAGAAATGCAGATGGACTGTTAAGTCCAGGTGGATACTCTCTAAGTTTTAACTTACACAGATTTAAATTTTGTTTTTTACTAGATCCTAGCTTGACACTTTTCCTTCTACCTGGCTAGGCAAACTTTCTTTGTAGTCATACCTAATTAACTTATTCTCTTGTTTAGAAAACTTAAAAATATCCCTTTATCATACATTAAACAGTTCCTCCATTAAACCTTTTCAAAATCACAATTTGTGCTAAAATCATTCAAGAGCTGAAAGAGTTACAGGTCATTTGGGCCAACTTTCTATCCAATGCAAAACCTTACTTTTAACAGATTTGACACAAGCTCTGCTTTTACATTCTCAGCATAAGGGGCTTACTGTCTTATAGGGTAATCTTTTTCATTGTTAATGGCTCCAATTGTTAGTCATTTTCTTCCTACATTACACAAAAACCTTCTTTCCAACTTCCATACATTCCTCCTGCTTTTTGTCCTCTGGAGCTATATAGCAGCAGGTCTATGCCATTTTCCACATGATAACCTTTAAAATATTTGAACGCATTTATCATTTGTCCCATAATTCCTCTCTAATTAGGCCAAACATTATTTTTTTCTACTGTTTTTTAAAAGTGACACAATTCACAGATCCTTCAAGCTTTGTTCCTCTTCTTTCCTTTTACTTTCTCAATATTCTTAAAATATGGTACATTCTCAGGGCAGAATATAACATCCAATACACAGGTAGAATTAAATGACTCCTTTTCTAGACACTATAGTTCTGTTATTTAATCTCTCTAATATACATTTATGAAATGTTTAGGGGTTTATTTTCCCCAGGTTAACCTGCGCATGGTTTTCACAGAACTGGTCCAGTCAAAGAACACACAAGCATTAATTAATCAAGAGATAAACCATGCCTATTATTTTAAACAGGCTGACATTACTGGTAACAAGTAGATAGCGACTTTAAACTAATAATAAAAAATAAAAATAAAATAAAAAGAATTTTATACTGCATATTTGAATGCATATCAGGTATAAAAGTATAAACTAAACAAGATATAATCTAAGAAGCTGTAGAAGCAATACTAATGATATGTTGAAGGTGAAATCAAGGGGTAATACCAAAATAAAACAATGAGAGAATAATGAAGAAAAAATGCAGATAAGTAAAACGCCACAAAATCAAATACAAATATCAAACAGTCAACAAACTTTGCTAAAATATGAAAGAAGTAATCTAACTTATTATAGAAAGACTTAAATAATCAAATAAATACTATAATTAATTATTCTATTAATAAAATCCAAAATCTGTTAGAATAATAAATGTTACCCAAGGTATAGCTGGTAGCCAATAATAAAATTCACTATTTTGGCAATCATTACAACACTAAAGACTTATTGTGCTTTTAATAAAGTAATACCCATGGTTTTCCCACAGAAACTGTGAAGCCCAAAATGAACTGAAGGTCTAGCTAGTCTATAATTGTGAAGCTAACTGGTTGACCCTAAACATATCACTCTATACTTTAGCATCACTTATTTACTTTCAAGATATTTTTGAATCTATATTCTGTCATCCAATGAGTTACCAATGTCCAATATTTATGACCATTTCAATCCAATCTAGCATGATACTTGGCACACAGCAAGCATTTAAGTGGTTTTTGAATGCAAAATAATGTAAATTCTCTGTGAATCCACCTAATCTGTCATTATTGCCATGTTTCCTTATCCACACGAATGTTATGTAAGACTTTGTTAAATGTCTGCCTGAAATTAACACTCAATACGATTATTACATTCCCTTAAGTAACCATATTTTAAAAGGATATAAAGACAGCAAAGCATGGCTTGAGTTCACAAAGGGTCCTGATATTCTCTGCTTCATTCTAAGTGCCCACAAAGTGTTAATTATCATAATTACCACCCCCTAGCAGAATAGGACTGGAAGCAAGGAAACCAGTTACAAAGTGAATCACAGTATTCTAGATAAATGGTAAGGAAGGCCTAAACTAGGACATTACCTTAGGAAGAAAGGGGATAGGAGGATAGAACCTCTGTTAAAGGATAGAAGCTTTGGAAACAGAGCTGAATGATAGGGCTTAAGGACAAAGAGATACGGATGTAAAGGAAGGCAAATCAAATATGACATTGAAATTGTAAATTTCTAGAAGCTGGGGTAGAAAGTGGTGCCATTACGGAAATAAGGAACAGAGAAACAAGAACAATCCATGTTATAGCATTCATCTAGGCTTGCCCACACTCCAAAGGAGGGTGACGGGATTGAGGCATTTCCCAATAGGATATTTCATGAAAACATTTATAAAGTTTATAGAAAAATAAAATGCACAATTTATAGAACAGCTACAAAGATTAGGAAATATTAGCAAAAGACATTTGATGACACTGTTGAGAGTCAAATCGATCAATTAATCAAACACTGATTCTGTCTGGAGTAGGTAAAATCAGGTCTTTGAAGGTCAAGGAGCTGAGTCTTTGAAGGGTTTATCATTGGACACCAAAGGGAACTGAGTATGTGAAACTAGGAAGAAAGTAAGAAATATTTTGCAGATTCGGAATTTCCTACTCATAGAATGAAGATGGAATCTTTGTTGAAGCATACTTAAAAAGGGGGTTCTGAATTATACCCAAATAACAGGAAAAGTGATCAGAAATTTTATTTTTTATATTAGGAAGTGTTGGGAAACTAGAGAACTAAAGAAATATTACATGTATACATTATATGTGTGTGTGTGTGTGTGTGTGTGTGTGTGTGTGTGTAATGTGTAAACAGAGGGTGCCAAAAAATGTATACAAGTGGACACTTTGGTCAACTTTGCTCAAACAGTAATTTGCCATCATCAGAAGTGTCTGGATGCTGATGGTAACTGCTTTGAGCACCTCATGTAAATGCAGAAATAAAACGTGACTTGTATTCATCTTTTACCAGTAAGTATATACTGAGTATTACAGTTTTAATACAGTTTTCCTTTCTTAAAATGTGTATACATTTTTTTGGCACCCTCTGTGTGTGTGTGTGTGTGTGTGTGTGTGTGTGTGTGCATGTATGTATTTCAATATAACACATGGATTAACCTCTTTCACCTTTCAACAATGGCTTTGGGGGGTGAAAATGTAAAACACAGACTTTAGATGTTTTAATATTGCCTACAGAAGTTTAAAGGAGAGGCATACTCAGTGTCAGGCTCAGAGGCCTGATTTTTTCTACACACAGAGCATACAGCTCAGGGACAGACTCAAACCAATCAAGCTCACAAAATACTGATTTAGAAAAGGACAGTGCCATCTTATTCAATTACCTTGAGAAATGAACCATAATACCGGCAGTGTCTGCTTCTGAGACTCATTTATTTACTTATTTTTAACACTTAAATCATTCAGTCTAATCAGAAACAGAAGCCATTCCTTGTTTTTAAGTTGACTCCACAACTGTTGCTCCAACCCATAACAGTTTAACTCTCAGAGGGCATTCTTTTTTTCCAAGTTCCAGGATACAGAGGCACGTCTACTTTGCCCCATTTACTATCCACACATATTAATAATACATATATAAATAGATGATTTCTAAAAGTTAGGTTTATGGGGAGGGGAAACTGGAAGGTGGTCAAAAGGTACAAACTTCCAGCTATAAGGTAAGTAAGTACTAGGGATGTAACATACAACATGACGACTATAGTTACCACTGCTATGATATATTAAAGTAACGGAAATAACGAAAGTTACCTCTTTTTGGCACAATGTTCTTCAATATTGCTGTCCCATCTCTGAGACATAACCAAACTAAGCTCCATTTCTTCTTTTTCAACCTGTGGTTCATTTTCTTCATCATCACTATTGTGGGGACAACATGGCGATGGCATCCTGTTTCTTTCCCTCTGATATCCATCATTTTCCAAACCAGCAAGAAGATGTACCAGAGCCTCATCAGGACTACTGTCCACTATAAAACAAGTGAAGCATTACCAACAAATAACTGAAGTTTTCTAAACAATTCAACAATTCAGACCAATTAGAAAACAACAACAAAATCAAAGCTGTTGACACATGCTGAAAGAATACAGCTGGTACAAAGACTTATATGTGTTAATATAGCTCTTCCATCCAAGTTTTATCTTTGGACCATCTGCATTACAGTGATTTTGTGTCCTTATTAAAAAGAAGATTCCCAGACCCCATCCCTTATCTATTAAATCAGAATTTCTGAAGTAGGACCCAGGAATTTGCATTTTAACAAGCTGCCAAACCTCTTACTGCACAATTAAGCTTGAGGAGCACTAAACCATTATAGCCACAAGTGTTCAACATTACGAGTATATATAACATACGTAATAAATATATGAATCAACGCTAAGAAAATGCCTTAGAAACAATACATGTGAACACCTTATCCCTTACTAAAACTTTATTTAGCTCACAGGATAGTCAATCAAAACCTGTAGTTGAATAATACAAGAGAGCTTTAAAAGTGGTTAATGATATACATTATTTAAAATACTTTGAAGACCACAATGAGATACCACTTCATATGCACTAGGGTTGCTAAAATCAAAGACATAATAACAAGTGCTGGTAAAGATGTGAAGAAACTGGCAACCTCAAACACTGCGGTCAGAATGTAAAATGATGCAGTTGCTTTGGAAAAACTTTTGGCAGTTGCTCCAAATGTTAAACATAGAGTGTTACAATATGACCCAGCAATTCTACTCTTAGGTATATGCTCAAGAGAATTGAAAACATATGTCCTCACAAAAACCTATACATGAATAATCATAGCAGCATTATTCATAACAGACAAAAAAAAAAGACAACACCAATATCCATCAACTGAAGAATGAATAAATTAAATATGGCATATCGGTATCATGAATTATTCAGCAGTAAAAAGGAATAAAGTATGATACGTGCTACAACATGGATGAACCTTAAAAACATTATGCTAAGTAAATGATGCCAGAAAAAAAAGGTTACATGATTCCTTTTTATATGAAATGCCCCAAATAGGTTAATCAAGAGAAAATAGGTTAGTGGTTGCCAGGGGCTGAGAGGAGGGAAGAATGGGGAGTGAGTGCGAATGGGTAAGGAATTTCTTTTTGGGGTGATGAAAATGTCCTGGAATTAGATGGTGGTAATAGTTGCATAAGTCCATGAATATATTAAAAACCACTGAACTGTACATGTTAGAAGGCAAAATTTATATCTCAAGAAGGTGAATTATCTCAATAAAAGCTATTTTTAAAATAATCATGAAGATGGTTTGTTCAATCTAGTACACAATCTTTTTCTCTGTAAAATGAGATAATGTATTCCCCATTTACTAAAATATCAAGTTTCAGGGGTTTTTTTTTGATATTAAAGAAATTGGTTCAATCATGCTATCAGATATAAAACAAAAATATAGATATTTGATTAGGGCCATTTTGGCAAAAATCCATTTCTTAAACCTAGAATTGCAATACATTTATTTTTCCTGCCTCTTAAAAAAATATTAGCAAATAATATTTTATATATTTGACACTCAGATCTTTGACTAACATTTAGACTGCATTTTGTAAACTTGGGCAAGGTAAAATTATACCTGCTGATGATACATTATATTTCTCTAATGTAATGAAATAAGGATATGCCTCTCTCCCTCTCTTTTTCAATTCCTTAACTTTCTCTAAGTTCCTCTCTTTTATAACTGTTTATTATTTTTATAACTAGAATGTAATTTAGGGAGATATATATATATATATATATGTGTGTGTGTGTGTATACATATATATGTGTGTGTGTGTGTGTGTGTGTGTGTGTATATATATATATATATTCAGATGGAGAAATAAAACATTTTAGATTTAAACTTCAAATTAATTTTTAATGTGGTCTTTGGATCATTTCTTTATGCATATGCCATTCACTTAAAAAAGAAAACTGTTCCCTACACCTACCTAAAATGTTCTTGAAATATGACTGTGTACAATAATTTTGGTTTTGTTCCTAGTCAGTCAATTTGTGTTTCATTCAAAGAAAATGCAGGTAACAGAGAGAGGACCCTGTAGAGAACTATGATCACGTTTGATGCTATATCTTATTTAATACAATAAGAACGAAAAAACAGAAAGTGAGCAAGGAAAGAAACATAAAATCACTATACTAAGAAAAATAAGGGGCATGAAGTTTAATGATATCTCATTTTGCAATAAAATTTTAAATACATTTTGCAAAAGATGTCGTTTAAATTATTGAAATGAAAACTAGCAAATGGCATGTAGAGATGCACGGACACTCAGAAATAACAGTCATGTTCTACACTAGCCAAAAATTAATTGCTTAAAAAGGAATTGTCCAGGTAAATTTCTGATACTCACCAGAAAAGTTAATTATGGCTATTTTATTAATGTACTTAAATTTGAAGAATTTTAATTCAAAATAAGCACATTTTTCCCCTAAAGCATATGGTTTTCCTCCAACCAAAGTGAAGTTTAAAAAAAGGTAATTATTTTCTTTCACATTGTTTTTTAGAAAAAGCTGTGCAGAAAATAAAAAACAAAGCTACTTCATTTAACGCAAGGTTTCGTTTTTATACTAAACAGAGAAAGGATTTATTGAACATGCAACATTAACCTCTTCAAATCAAAGGAAAAAAATACCCTCTTCACATATCAACTTTCATTGACTTAAAACACTGAAAATTTCTTGGTACAATTGTTACTTACAGAAAACTGGTGACTCACTCAGTCTTTGGGTCAAAGGCTGAAAAGTCTGACTAGATTCCATGAGGTTCAAAATTGCTTCTTCATTAATAAGAGCTTCCTCCACTTTATGTCTCATGTGACCTTAAGATGACAAAGAATACAAAAACATTAAAGCAATGGCCTAAATTTGTTTAGAATTTGTGTAAATTAGGAAGCATTACAACATAAACCTATTTAAAATTTTGACGTGTTAGTGATATATGTTAAATAAAAACATAATAAAACTTAAGAAAAGCCACAGAAATATCTAAGCAGTCAAATGGGGATAATTTAAAAACGAAATACCTTGAATCACGAAATATTTACAATCTCTTTAGCCTTTTCAATCCTACCTGGTTTGTACAGATAGTTTATATTACTCTGATACAAATCAATGCACATTAAAATATACGAAAGGAAAAGACAAACTGTCTCATTTGAATAATAAAATTCTTTATTCTCTACAGCTTAAAATTACAAATAAATTCATTTTACAATAATTTTATATTTCTCAGGAAGTTTTCACTTCATGATCTAAAATTGTAAGTCCTTCAACATGTGCTTTTAATAGAAATTCTAATGTACAGAGGGATTAAATAGTTTAAGAACAAAGATAAAATGAAACAATCTCGTTAAAGGGAGAGACAGAATAAAAGCACATAGTAGTAAGGGAAAAAATATTATATGGCAAAAAATGGCAGGCAGTTATAAGAGCTAACTGGAAAACTTGTATTTTCTGCTTCTAGTATTCAGACTTAAAACTAAAGAAATTCATATATATATATATATATATATATATATATATATATATATATATATATAGAGAGAGAGAGAGAGAGAGAGAGAGAGAGAGAGAGAGAGTGTCAGTCACGGGACGTGGAGTATAGTGTGGGAGTGGAGTCAAGGGAATTGTAATAGATATGTATGACATTGGGGGTGGAAGTGGGGCGGTGGAGAGAGGTTGTCACCTCGAAGGGTAAAAAGTGTAACTATTGTACTGTGTTGTACAGCTGAAACTAATTCTAAAAAATGTGTACTTCACAATAAAAAATAATTTTAAAAAAATGAACAAACAAAAAACTGTGAAAAATAGCTCATCCCCAAAACAAGACAATTGAGAGGATCAATAAAAATAAAAGCTGGTTCTCTGCATCTAATATGATAGACAAGACTGGCAAGAATGATCAAAATAAAATAGAAGGCATAAATAAATTATGTTAGAAATAAAACGGAAAATACCAAAAAGTATAACAGATGTTAAATATTATGAACTTTATGCCAAAAACAGGGCAAAATCAGATAAAGTGGATAATTTCTTAGGAAAAATATGAAATAAAACCCAATTCAAACAGAAATAGAAAGCTTGAGCACACCTATAATCATGAAAATTGAATTAGTAGTTTAAAATCCATTCTCTTCACCTACCACCCCCCCAATACTAAAATCCATCCACAAAAAAACAGACTAATTCTGGATGGTTTTACAGTGAGATCTATCAAACCTCCAAGATATATATTATACTATTCTAATAAAAATTGTTGAAAAAAGAGAGAAAGCTCCACAACTCATTTAATGGGGCAAACTGTGGATCTTTTTCCATCATTACATTTAAAAAAATGTATGAGGATGGGAAAAGAAGTAATAAAATTGTTATTTGCAGATGATCACTCTCTACACAGAAAAGTCAATGGAAAAGACATATAAACTATTGGCACTTAGTAAAAGTTGCTGAACATAAGACTAATATACAATGGTCAGTTAAGTTCCTAAATAGCAGCAGTTAGAAGATAAAATTTTTGAAAGATAAAACTTACTGAAAATCATAAGACACCTGGAATATATCTAAACAAAGGCTACAAAAATTATTTTACAAAGAAAATTGCAAACCTTATTGAAAGACATGAAAGACAAAATACAATAAGAACTATGTTCATAGATGAGATGATATGATAAAGATTTAAAATGTTTTTAAATTGGCCTATAAATTCATTGAATTCCTAATAAAATCTCAACAGGGTTCTTCCCAGGAATGAAACAATGAGATCCTAAGATTAACACAGGAGAGCTTTTTTAAAAGAATGAGAGTAGATAAGACAATTTTGAAGCCGGATAAGGGATGATCTGTCCTTGATGTACACCAAAGCAACCACAATTACAACAGTATATTAACAGGGGAACATGACTGAGGTGGGAGAATTGAGTGGGGAAAAAAAAGCTTTTCAATAAGTACGCTGGAACAACTAGGTATTTATATTTAGAGAAACAGATACAATTACATCCTAATTGTAAGCACATGTAAGCCTTAAGGATGAAAAGTTTCATTATATCAGATAGGGAAGGACTCATAAACCAGGTATGAAAACTTAACCACAAAGAAAAAAAAACTTAAATTCGACATTAAAACTGAAGATATGCAAAACACCTAAAAAATAAAACAAAAGGAAAGAACGAGGGGAAAGAAAGCTAAAAATATTTTTTGAAGACTTCTAAAGTACAAGTCTAGATGGGGAAAAAATATATCTACAATACATAGAACTGACAAAGGCTTAATATCAAGAAAATATTAGGAACTCCTACAAATGAGTAAGAAAAAGACAAGTGACCAATAGAAAATGAGCAAAGAACACAAATAAGCAATTCTCCGATAAAGAAACTCAAATGCTCAAACTTAACAGTAATTAGGAAATATAGATTAAACTAAGGAGATACCATTTCAAAGAATCAGAATGTCAACAAGTTTTTGCATCTGATACTATCAAATGCTTCTGAGGATGTAGGAAAATATAAGCTCTAATATATTGTGAGAATATAAACTTAGGTACAATCATTTCATAGAACAATTTTGTAATACTGGCATTACTACTATAATGTGATATTTTTATTAGTAACATACCTCAAAATCTGAAATTAAGCACTATAAATAACAGGGCTGATAGGGAAAAAAAATGGTTAAGGCAAAAATCTATGCAACTTTGTAACCAGAGCACTAACAAAATCAATAATTGGTACCTGGGGGGATAATTCTGATCAGTCAGGAAGGCAGCTCAGTGTAGCTGGAGGCTGTCATAGTTGATATTAAAAATGCACAGAAAATAGTATGGAAATGCTGGGTAAATTTTGATTAGAGTGCAGCTGGCAGATGCTAAGACAAAGCAAATGGAAGCAGAGCTCTGAGCCAGTAGCTGCTATAAAGGTGAGCTCAGGAGGTGGTGCAACTTGCCATGAGTCAGAGATGGCACAACGCTGGGATGCAACTCTTAGGGAGGGAGGAAGCCTTGGGTGTAGGTGCTCATTTTCAGTTGTTGCTGTTGTTTAATACAGTCAAAAGAGCCCCTGCTGCCAATGCGGCAGTGAAAAGAGGGCTTCTCCTGTTATGCTGAAGGCTGCAATTCTATTCCTGCTATTCTGGCTCCCCTTGCCTAGAAAAATTGCATATGAAACAACATGACTTCTGAGTAAAACTTTCATTATTCTCTTATTTCCCAATCACGTATAAGCTAATTGCATTACAGAAACCCTGCTAGTGCAGATGCTATCTAGGCAGAGTACAATACATATAACTTAAGACCCAGCAAATTACACTTCTATGTATCTTCTGTGGAGAAACTCCGGCACACAGCCACAAGGTGACAGATGTAACATTGTTATTAACAGTGCAAAAGTGAAAACCATCTAATAGTTGTAGAGAAACAGATAAACTTGTTTAGACTTAAAATGGAGTACTAATCAGCAGCTAAAACCAATGACCTAGAAACATGTGAACAAAGATAGACTGCAAAGTTATAATGTTGACATAAAAATACTCAGCATCATTAGTAATGAGGGAAATGATAATTAAATACATAATGAGATTCCATTTCACACCCACTAGGATACTATATAAAAAAGATAATAACAAGTGTTAGTGAGGATGTGGGGTACTGGAACCCTCACATATTACTGGTGGGAATATAAAACTATACAGTCACTTTGCACAAGTTTGGTAGTTTACTAAAAAATTAAACACAAATTTACCAAATGACCCAGCAATTCTACTCCTTGGTCTCCACTCAAGAGAAATGAAAATATATATCCACACCAAGACTTATACACAAATGTTCATAGCATTATTAAGAGCCAAAATGTGAAAACAACTTAAATATCCCAACTGATGAACGAATTAACAAAATATGGTACATCCATACAACGGAATACTATTCAGCCATAAAAAGGAATGGAATACTGATAGGTACTGACAGATACAATATGGATGAACCTGAAAATATTATGCTAAGTGAAAGAAGCAAGACACAAAAGATCACATGTTGTATGACTTCATTTATATGATATAGTCAGAAAAAGGCAAATCTTGAGAGACAAGAAAGTAGACTAGTGTTTAATTGGGGCTGGAGGTGAGAACAGGTAAGACTACAAATGTACACAAGGAATCTTTTGAGGTGAAGAAAATGTTCTAAAACTGAATTATGGAGATGTTTGCAGAACTCTGTAAATTTAATATAAACCACTGACTTTATACACTTAAAGTGAGTGCATTTTTACATCATGCAAATTATACCCCAATTAAGTTGTTAAAAAATATAATATTGAATGAAAAAAGCAAGTTGTTTAATTTATGCCAAGTAGGGCACCACTTATGTAAAATTTAAAACCTAAAATAACAGTATATGTTGTAGACATACATATATAAGAAAATATAAAATCATATATGGTAACAGTTTGCCCCAACTTCAGAATAGTGCTCAACTCTAGAGATGAAGAAAAGGGAAAGAATGGGAGAGAGATTTTTGCTATATCAACAATATTTATTTCTCAGGAAAAAAAGAAATACTTAGCAAACTCAACCAAGTACTAATTACCTTAGTGCTAGATATACAGAAGTCTGTTAAGAGTATTTTCTGTATACCTGAAAAGAAAACCTCACCTTTGCTCAACTCTGTGTCTTTGTGGACTTCCACCATATTAGCCGGTGTACACTGAAGAATTTCAGGAGACAGAACCTCAGAGTGCAATGTTAACTCTGCAGAGAACTCCTGGGATCCATCGCTGTAGCCCACAGATCCTGATAACGTTCTGCTTAATTAAAACATATCCTTTATAACAAACTAGATAACAAAGCAATGAAATAGTTCCGAGGTTTATAATAAATAATCACTTACACAGAGAAATCATTCTGTTTGAGAATTTCCTGTAGTCTCTTCTGAAATTTTTTTTCACTTTCTGTTGCTGACACAAACCTGCGATCTTTGAATTTTAAAAGTGCATTAAAAAGATGTAGATAAATGAATGAAATATTTTCTTTTCTCCTAGAGTAGCTTTTAAAATAGTAGCAATTTCCTATCCTTTTCTTGACATATATAACACCACCTAAAAGTAGTTCTGTTTTATAAAATCAAATAAAACAGAAATGGTTGTTACTGAAGCTATAAAATTAAGCACTTAAAGTCAGTTCAAGTTTAAGTTCTATAACTTAAATCTAGCACAGAAAAACATTGTTCTCTACCTATACACTCTGAACAGATATTATCCTCTTATAAAATACGTATTTCTACTTTAAAAGGCATTCAAAATTTATCAAAGCATTTTTAATGTCCAAGACACTGTAATAAAAATTTTAAACTTTAATTGGACTTCAATATAGGCTTACTGCTGTATTTCAAATACATTTGTCTTTTGAATTATGTCTTTTATACTTTTGCTTTTATGTTAGTATTTTCATTGTGTTCATGGCATTTATTTAAGCCCCCTCAAATTCCTTTTGAATGTAGCAGGGTTTAATAATAAATGAATGTTTTCTTCAGAGCTGTATAAGATAATCAAAGTGAGAGTTTTTATGACATATCCAGCAAATAATTTGGGGGCAGTATTTCATGGGTTACATTTTCAAAGCTTCAGGAATGACACACCGTGTTTCTAAGTTGAGATTCGTGGTCTTCTATGAGTAATCTATAGGTCATTTGGAAATACAGAAGGCTGAGTATACTAGAGAATGAAACAGGAGAAAAATGTGAGGCAAGAGAACAAAGTATGGTGAAAACCAAAGACAATGAGGATGTCAGTTTCTTATCGGAAGAAAGACAATGAGTGACACTTGGAGGTAAAGAATTACTGGTTCAGAGCAGAGTAAAAAAAAAAAAAAATATATATATATATATATAGAAAAATTAAAGGTAATTTGAAAAGTAAAATCTAAGGTCAAGGTAAAAACTCAATGACTTAAACTTTTCTATTAAAATACCTTGTTTAAAAAAGTCTTTAGAGTGCTATTTGATTTATACCTTGTGATTCAGGTTGGCTAATCTGAGAAGTTTCATTTCTGTTTCTTCGCCGTTGCTTTTCATCTTCCCATATGGCCTGTAGACCAGGGTTTCCACCAATTTGAGCTGTAATCACAACAATACTTCACTACTACAAAGTCAAAGTGAAAAGTACTTGCTTAAAAAAATAAATCCAAACTTTAAAAAAATAAATCCTGCTTCTTAAGAAAAACACTTACCTACTTTGTATAACAAAGCAGACCAACTATCCCAACCCACATTCCTTTTTTAGTTTTTATTATTAGTTTCAGATGTACAAAAAAACAACAGTGACTAGACACCCCTCACAAAGTGATAACGCCAACAAGTCTACTACCCATCTGACACCATACATAGCTATTACAATACCATTGATTATATTCCTCCCTATGCTGTACTTTACATCTTGTGACAACATATTTTTAAAATTATAGTTGACATTCAATATTATAATCTACATTTCTTATGCTACTCCTTTTTGAGTTTTCTTCCCCGTGGTTCCCTAAAAACCACCAAATGAAGGAGATTCAAACATTTGATGACAGCTAACAGACCTGAGACTCCCCTCCCTGGTATATAACCTGAAAATTAAAAAATTAAATGTCAGTGTATATTAAGTTTTTTGATACTGGCTCATTTATTTAGTGTTATACTTACTTTAGGTTCATGACTGTGCAAACATACTCATATGAATGAAAATATAAATAGAAAAATAACTATCTCATCAGAGGTACAGAAGCAATCTTCCTAACATTTTGCATCCTCCTTCTATAACATCTTACTTTCCTAGTAATGTTTTCTTCCCTACTTTTTTCACTCTACTTTGGTCATTAATTTTTAAAAATAAAAACATGTATTAAGAATAATTGTGTATATACCTTCAATGTCCAGCCGATTTAAGATATCAGCAGCTACAGCATCTACTTCTAATTCACATGTACTCTGCGGTTTAACATCTTCCAATATTAAAGAGCTGAATTAAAAATATATTTAAAAAAACCACAATAATTATGTAAGAGCAAATTTTCTGAAGATTTTTCTTACTTACACAATTTCTCATGTTTAGGTGGTAAGGAGAAAAGCCATTGATATATTAATCCACAAATATTCATGACATAATTGATTCTGTGTACTATATACACATAAAAAATGAAAAACAGAAAGAGAAAAATACAAATATACCTACTATATTAACAACTCTTTTGAGATCCTTTTGCAGTACATTTTACATATTTTGGCTCATTATAATTATTTTTATATATAATAAATTATATATAAGGGATGTACAATGTTTTAGCATGTGGGTCGTATCCAGGACAGAATGGGATAAGATAGCAGAGGGACAACTGAGACATGAATCAAAAACCATACACATAGGCAATCATATGCCCAGCGGCATCTTTCTCAGCAATCATAGATAAAATGAGGAGAGAATAAGTAACCAGAGATGAAGGGAGGTGAGCATATTAAATAACACTATTCTTCTTGTCCTCAACTGCTGCTGAGCTGGAGAACACTTTTAAAATTCTCCATGACACAGAATTGAGAAACCACATGTGTTCAACAGTGGGCTCATAAGTGGTGACAGCACAAGGTCATTAATTTTTATGAGAACTACAGAGGATTGTTCCCACTAATGCTCTTTGACTCAAACGTGTTTTGTTTTTCATCAGAGCCACAAGAAAAGAAAGATTAGAAAATCACATAACTGTTCCTACTTGACAGAATGAACATGCATCATCTAGGGTGAATCCCAGTTGACTCATCCCAAAAGTTAGATATCCTGTTAATATGGACATCAAAGAAAAAGGAGAGAACCATGATTTTACCAGAAAGTGGGTAATGGCAGATTTCGTTAACACTTATTTGCAACATTTTTAATGTTTTACAAGAAACATATTAGCAAAACCTCCTTTCCATTGTCTATCCCTAAGGAAATTTTGATGGGATGTTAGAAATTAATTTGTTAAACCTCAGAATTGTAAAAATTCTGTAAATTGTAAAAATTTTTACAATTCAAATAAATACACATGTATACATGTGTATACACACACACACACACACATCTTTTTTACTATTGATAAAGAAACATATTAGTCAGCCTCACAATATATCCCTTCCATTTCAGAAAAAATAATTCTTAATGTAATTTGTCTTCTTTATTCATAAAATTTAACAAAATCCGTTTTGCCATGAAATTAATTGTCAGATAAAACAGTTTATGATCAATAATATTCTTCTTATACTAAAAAGGTTCACGGTTTTTGGGAAGAATTATATTGTAAATTTCAAGGGTGAATTTTCTAGGAGTAGCATATTTGTGACAAAGGAGGAAAACAATAACATCAAAAAAATACAATCTTGGGCCAGCTGAGTAGCTCAGTTGGTTAATAGCATGAGCTCTGAGCAACAGGGTCGCTGGTTCGATTCCCACATGGGCCAGTGAGCTGCGCCCGATCTGAGTTGCCAACAGGTGGCAGGATGGCTCAGCTGGTGAGAGCACATGCTCCTAACAATAAGGTTGCGGGTTCGACTTCTGCATGGGATGGTGGGCGACACCCACCCCCAACTAAGATTGAACATGGAACCTGAGCATCCGGGAGCTGCAGGTGGGCAACTGGATGGTGACTGGACTTGGAGCTGAGCTAGCTGCGCCCTCCACAACTAAGATTGAAGGACAACAACTTAGCTCTTCCTGTTCCCCAATTCCCCAACACTGTTCCCCTTCCTCAATTCCCCAATAAAATCTTGTTTTAAAAACACATATCTTTCTAAAAAAAATAAAAATAAAAATACAATCTCATAGGAGAAATTTACAACTAATTCTTGCCTTTATTACCAAACTACTTCAGAAATTCAGGGCAGGTGTTCCTAGGGAAAGGAAGTAGTTCTCAGAACTAAAATTTGTTTCCAGTAGATAGAAAAACTGTGAGTAAAAAATTTGAGTCAGCAAGTACATGCAGACCATTCATTTTAGTCATGAAAGGTAGATAAGAGATATGGTGGTAGACAATTGTGCCTCTCTTCTGTTCATAGCTTAAGAAAACAGGCTTATTATTTTGAATCACTGAGGGTGGAGCTCAGACATCTATAATTTAAAAAAATCTCTTCAGGGCCGGCCGAGTGGCGCGATGGTTAAGAACTCGCTTGGGATGCCAGAGGGCCCCGGTTCGGATCCCACATATGAGGGCCAGTGACACTGCCCTCCGCAGCTGAGATGCTGAACAACAGCTCAACCTGGAGCTGGGCTGCCATGAGTCGCCGGCGACGGCGTGGGCTGCAGTCCCTGTGGCAGTGGATTGCCATGGGCTACCGTGTGTGGCCAGCAGCCAGCGTGAGCGGCCAGCAGCCGCAGTGAGCGGCCAGCAGCTGCAGTGAGCGGCCGTCCAGAAGCCGGCGACTGATCTGCCTCGCCAGAGAAGAGCACAATGATGGTGCCAACTTGGGCCAGTGAAGCAACATCCTCCACAACTAGATTGAAGAACAAGACGACAGCAACTTGTCTGTTCCCCTTCCCCCAACTCCCCAGCACTGTTCCCATCCCCCCAATTCCCCAATAAAAAATCTTAAAAAAAAAAAAAAATCTCTTCAGATAATTCTGATGGGCAGCCAGGGCTGAGATTACACTGCAGTAGACTCACGGCTTTTGTGAATTCAACACTCCAGCAAATGACCCAGAAGGTCCATGATGTGTGGTAATCTATATGAGTTAGCAAGTAAGGTTAGTGGAGATGCTAACTCAGCACTCTCATCTCATTACGAGTTTGTTGCTCTCTATTTGTTATGGCTCTTGTAATAATGTTTGTGATGGGACAGAAAACATTTCTTTGTTAAAAAAGGTACCCAGAAGAAGGTGCTGCACTGGGGACAGAAATGAGACTAATAAAATATAAGAGTATTGATTCTACAGCAAAATATTTTAACATTACGTTATTTGTACTTCATTAAAGTATGGATTTTCATGTTTAATACAATATAAGCATCCCCCAAATACAAAATACGCGGTAATCTGAGACAAAAATGTATAGCTAGCCTATACTTATTTTAAATTCTAATTCTGAATACCTTGTCTAATTTTACTAGTTTGTCTGTTCATATCTTTGCTTATAATTTGTCAATTCTTAAAAATAATAGGCTCCTTAAAAACATTCTAAAATTCAAGCTTTTCATTATAATACATAGGGCTTCCCCAAACTTACTCCTAACTAGTGAAGCTTTACTACAGTTTTATAACTTAACCAGAAAGATGTCTGTTTGAAAAGGCTTTAAATAGAAATAAACTTTGACTTTAATTGAGCATGCAAAGAACAAGTTACTAACTCCCAACTTTGAAAACCAAATGTAGTGCACAGGTAAAATCCTTGGGTCAAGTTGATTTGTTCCAACTTTAGAAAGATAGAGGGCCTGTATCACAGATATAAAAAATGAGAAAAGTAGCTTGTTGGTCATTTTGCTCTGGACTGATTAGAACTTGAATTTGATATGGTAAATAAAATTCTCTTTAAATTTAATACCATTTCAACATGATTATAAAAACAATTCTGCTGTGTCTAAGAAGGAATCAAGAGGTACATGTGTATGTATATGTGTACATGTGCATGTTTTTCAAAAAGTCCCAATACTTGTTAAGTTGAATCAAGCGGTAAGGAAAGTCACTGTCCATACCACTTTGAAGACTTATAAATCTCATTTTGGCATAACACTCCAATCATAAAACAATGTGTTTCTATCATTAATTAGTGAGATTCTTTCTTAACTTTAGGTATTAAAAAAAGCCCAAGTAATTCTGTAATATAAAAATTCTGTCAAGTACATATTAGGATCCTAAACTACATAAATTAAGCTCTAAGCAAATATTTTATGAGTTTATCTTCAGCTGATTAATAACTTCACATTTTCTTTTCATGAAATAGAAAATGAAGTCATTTAAACTAAGCACTTTTTTCATCTTGCACGCCTCATAAAAAACATCTACTTAAACAGCATCAGGAAACATGTGTAATGAAAAGAAAAAAACTATAACCACCCTGCCAATACCCAACTGATCAATAAAAGGATTGAGAAAGCTTAGGCAACACTTTGTGGTATAAAACAGAAATCCTCCTGAGTTCCATGTAGATGAAGCTATATTATTAATAATTTTTATAGGTAGTGATTATATATCTGCTTTATGGAAGGAAAATCTAAATATTTAGAATATGTTAGCTCCCCCAAAATAAATTAATAAAATAGTCTGATAAATAATAAAATAGTTAAATCACAAATTATATTATTCATACTCAGTATGTCAACCCACTTTGCTCCATAAATATTTAATATTTAGAAATTTGAAGGGTTATTTTTACTAAAAATATTTGCTATTTAGGTTTTAAGTTGATATTTTATTATGTGATTTTTACTTGACAATTTATAGGATATCAATTTGGAATGCACAATGAAGATGGATGTTGAAGTATAAAAATTTACACCCAGATTTATTTTATTAATTAGGTGGTAGCTGCATATACTTTTGTGGTCTCTTTCTAAAATTTATGATTCCATGTAACATATTAATGTTGAGATTTGTTTTGCCGATAAACTTGTAGAGTGAAAACACCAAATATAAGGTAAAAAATAAAATATGGTAATCACTGATTTCTGAATACAGGATATATGTAAATCAGTTTTTTTCTCCTTTACAACTTTAAACTGACCTTGGTATTTCATTTTCTTCCCACCGGAATAAGGTACCAGTAAGAGAATTTCCTGGTAGCCGATCCTTGCAAGAGCCAGTGGCACGCAATGAATCACCTAGGAACAGAAAGGTAAAAGGGGATAAGTTCTAATTTTAACTTACCCTTTAAGTAAAATAATGTACAACCTATATGACTAGCTCCGAAAAATGTGTCCTAAAAATTCATACACACACAGGAAAGTATAGCTCAGCTGAAAGTAATGATTCCAAACTAAGAGGGGAAAGAAGTATTTGCAATATATACTTATGAGAGAGAAATGGCTATAAGACTTTCGAACTAGAATAAAAGTATGATACATTTAAAAGTGCTATATATAGTGATAGGTATGCTTAAAATCCCATTTTATAAATCAAGATGAATTAAGAAGTTTTGTAGACTTTAATCCAAATTCCTAGGGTATTCTGTATGAGTCACAATTAAAATTTTAGTGAAAATCAGATTCCGGATATAATTGAAAACACACTTTAATACTAATCCCTGAACAGAAAGAAAATACACAATGCATTCCAGAAGAAAGGGAGAAGCAATGAGTGCAAACCTAGGGCAAATGCGAATATAAATTTACAGCAGCTGAAGAGAGGACTATATATACATGTTTGCTTACTTGTCCCAGTTTCCAAAGCTGAGTCCTAGGGTCAATGCTTTGGAAGTAGTCTCTAAATTTTAGCAATTTTTCTGCAACCTCTTGTGGAAATTTAAATTTTCAGATAAGAGAAAGCTTGTGTGAGTGTCACAGAAAGAATCCTAATGTTATGAAAGATATTAAATTTGCAGTACTCTCCAGCTAAATTTAATACTTTTATTTTCTTATTTGGTTAGCTTGATCACAAAAGCATGTAATCTAACATCAGGTATTACCATCTTTGCTATTTCAACAAAACACATGACAAAATATGTAGCTGATTCTTACCTATACTTTATGTACTGTTTTAGCGTATTTCCCTGAAGAACATGGAAACGCTCTAATTTAAATATATTATTCAACCCTAACCCTATCCATGTCCCTAACCCTAACCCTAACCTTGACCCTAGCCCTGTCCCTAACCCTAACCCTGTCCCTAACCCCAACCCTAATCCAAAACCTAACCCTAACCCTAATCCGGTCCAAATAAAATTTAAAAAATAATAAATAATTATATATTCTGCTCAACTGTGGATGTTAAAAAATGTAATATAAAATGCCTCTGTAGTTCTCAAAATGTTTACTCTTTATATAAGTACTTCTATATACTTCACCTTACAATTATAGTGTTTTGTAATTGCCATTTCATTTGAAAACTGGTTCTATAACTGAATACTGAGACAAAATTATATATGTATATATATTAAAATTTCCAAATCTTTTTCACTTTTAAATTTACCCCCCTTTCAAGAGACATTACTTATTACATTAACTTGCCTTATAAGATAAAATGTTAAGTTATACACATCTATGTAACACAGTAATACCTTGGCTTGCGAGTAACTTGGTTTGCGAGTGTTCCACAAGACGAGCAAACATTTCTATTAGGTTGGTGTAAGTAATGGCAAAAACCGCAATCGCTTTTGCACCAACCTAATAATACATTTTAACTTGGTTATACGAGTGATGTCTTGCAATACAAGTAGTTTGTTTCCAGAACGAATTGTGTTTGCAAACTGAGGTATTATTGTATATATAAATTTACCATAAAGGGCCGGCAGAGTGGCGCAATGGTTAAGAGCTGGCTTGGGACGCCAGAGGGCCCCGGTTCGGATCCCACATATGAGGGCCAGTGACACTGCCCTCTACAGCTAAGATGCTGAACAACAGCTCAACCAGGAGCTGGGCTGCTGTGAGTTGCTGGCGACGGCTAGGCTGCAGCCCCTGCTGCAGTGGGTTGCCATGGGCTACCGTGTGTAGCCAGCAGCCGCAGTGAGCGGCCGTCCAGAAGCCAGCGACTGATCTGCCTCGCCCAGAAAGAGCGCAATGATGGTGCCAACTTGAGCCAGTGAAGCAACATCCTCCACAACTAGACTGAAGAACAAAACAACAGCAACTTACCTGTTCCCCTTTCCCCAATTCCCCAGCACTGTTCCCATCCCCCCGCAATTCCCCAATAAAAAAAATCTTTAAAAAAAAAAATTTACCATCAAGTTTATTGTCAGTTTAACTATAATGTATCTGAGATACCATGACAAAATAAACCACAAATAAATGATTCACCTATCCTTTTCATGATTTCAGTATAACCTTCTATTTTATACAAAACAAACAAAACAAAAACCTGAGGGGTATTTAGTATAATGAGCTTAAGATATAAATTTTATTTCCTCATACTTGTGATTTCCCTGCTTTTAATTTTCCCCAACTAAATTTCACATATTTCTGTCTTCAAATTGTAAAAATTTTCCATATTTTGAAAAAAAAAATCCCTTCTAATTACCATTCCAATACTCATCTAACTTTTATAACTAAAATAAATGGCTTACAATATATTTGCTAATTCAAATTTTTCTCATGCTTTTCATCTATTGGAAAGAAACTTTTGCAGGGTTTTTTTTAGAGGTGTTGAAAATGTTCTAAATTTGACTGTGGTGATGGCTGCACAACTAACTCTGTCAATATACTAAAAACCACTGAATTTTCCATTTTAAATGAATGGTGTGGTATGTGAAATGTGTTCAATAAGGCTGCTACAAAAAAATTTATTTGGTGTTATTTTCCTAATAAACTCTAATACCACCTTGTACATTTTATTCTTTATCTACTTTGCACTTATTTTCTAAATATATATTATTTTATATATCATCAAATACATAACACTTGTTTCAAAGCTTTAATTTTAACTTGAGAAATTAACCTTACTTTTCCTTCTTGCTTTTCGGAACTTGACAGCAGCCAGATTTATTAAATTCATTCCATACAGATTATAGTCAATGAAGAGCTGTAGGAGGTAGGGAACATGCGCTTCATGAGGCTGGTAAAATTTATTCATTATGGCTCCACTTTGCAAAAGTTCACATATCCTAAATTAGGGGAAAAAAAGTTATTATCAAAATTGTTTCCTAGAATGTTAAGTGAAACGATTATACTAATACAGAGAATAAAACACATATTAGCATACAAATGTTTTACTTTGAGTTTACTGGAAATTTGTATTTTGTTAGAAATTAAAAGTTTAAATCAAGTTTTAAAGTAAGCCACATGTTCTGATAGAAAATCATAAAAAACTTCTTAAATGAAGGGTATTTTGACTTCTAAAACCAATTTAATACTAAATACAGTAAAACCTTGGATTGCGAGTAACATGGTTTCCAAGTGTTCCGCAAGACAAGCAAACATCCTAATACATTTTAACGTGGTAAATGAGTGATGTCTTGCAATACGAGTAGTTTGTTTCTGGAACAAATTATGCTCGCAAACCAAGTACATTTTAACGTGGTAAACGAACGCTGTCTTGCAATATGAGTAGTTTGTTTCCGGGACAAATTATGCTCGCAAACCAAGGTGTTACTGTATATTGAAAAGCCAAAATGTGAAAAAGACTTTAAAGTACGAGCTTTTTCTTTTAAAAATTCAGAAAATTGCTTGAATAGATTATACAAAAATTCTAAAAAAGGAAATATGACCCAATCCACTACTCAAGAGATATTACCATCTTAATATTTTTCTTCTGAGTTGTTTTTCCTTCATGATGGGGAATACAAACAATAGGCAATTATAAATAGTGTAAATGCTATGTAGGGGGGAGTATATGAAACATTGAGAAGGGACACTAGTCAGATAGAGGTGCAGAGGTAGTTACTGCAAAGCCTTCTTGAAGAGAAGTCTCTAAGCAGGAGACTAAACAATGAACTGGAGATACTTTTTCTCAGAAGAGAGGGAAGAGTGTTTCATGCAAATAAAATTGCACATGCAAAGGGTCATGAGAAAACATGGCTTATTTGGGAACTGAAACCACTGAGTGAGGCCTAGTGACAGAACTGTGGTGAGGGGAGGGCTAGAGGAGGGTAATGAGAAGTCAGATCATGCAGAGCCCATTAAGACATCTGAAGAGGTAGTGGAATGCCTGTGAACAGCAGGAAAGTGAAATGACTGGGTTAGCTAGACAATGCACAAGACTAGAAATAGGGAATGAGAAGGCTATTGTGGAAATATTAAGGTGATGGCAACTTTAACAAGGATTGTGGAAATGTGTTGATTCAGGAGACACAAAAATAGTCATGCCTTGATGGCTAACTAATGTGGAGGGTAAGGTAGAACAGGAGTTGGAGGTAATGCCTAGATTTCTTGCTTAAGCAGCTAGCTGGTGGTGCTGCACATACTGGAAAAAAAAATTGTAAGAAAACAGGTTTGTTTCGAGATCTTTTTTGGAGGCGGAATAAAGATAAACTGAGTTTTAGACATACTGGGGTTTAGGTATAATGAGATATTCAGGTAGATGTCTAGGAAAATAATGATAATGAAGATGAGGATAAGAATAATTTTCTAACACAGCAGAGGCAACTAACATATATTTTTAAGCACTATGTACTGGATACTGTGTTAGATGCTTTAAATGCTTAATCTCAAAGTAATCCTCACTACAAACCTATGGTACTATCATCCCCACTTTATAACTAGAGAAACTGAATCTTAGATTAAAAAGTTGTCCAAAATCACAGAAATAAAAAGTGGGAGAGCTAAAATTCAAACCAAATTTTCTCTGACTTATGAGCCCTCAAGATACTCTTAACTATAGTGCTATTCTATTTATTCAGTAGATGGTTCGATATGCTGATCAGGAGCTCTGGAGGGAAATTTAGGCTACTGATACACATTTAGAAGTCAAATACATAAAGATTAACAAAAACAAAAACCAAACCAAACCACGAGAGTAGCTAAGGCTGTAGAGTGAGGAGAAAGTATAGAGAGAAAAGATAAAAGCTTAAGACAGAACCCCAGATCTTAAAAGAACCACCAGCAAAATGGCAAAATATGAACCATCAGATAGGTATGAGGAAAACCATAGGAGGTTTATATCAAAGAAACCAACATTTGAGATTATTTTAAGGCACTGTAAGCATTGACGTGAGGTCAAAAGCTAAGGACAGAAAGGTGTTCATTTAATGTAGCAACATTAGTGAAAGCAGCTTCCGTGGAATGGTTGGGGGTGGAAGCCATACTGGAGAAAGTTAAAGAGTGAATGGGAGATAAGAAATTGGATACACAAGGTATAGGTAAATCCTTCAGGGAGAACAGCTATTAGTATGACTGTGTATGTCATGCGTATGAATGTCTTACGTGTAAGATTAACAGTCTTACTGATATTTAAATAGTGTGGGGAAAGGAGATGGGGATAACTAATAGATGGAAGAAAAAAGGTCACAGAGGGTGGGTCTTGAGCTTTGGAGTGAGGCAGGGAATCTCATTGTAATAGGCAGGAAGGGAAAAGGAGAGAATGAATGTGAATAGAGTTTAAGGATCTTTGATAGAAAATTAACAGAGCTTTATTTCAGTGGTTCTCAAACATTTTGGTCCCCAAACCCCTTTTTACTCTTACAAATTATTTGTAGCTGTTGTGTGTTTTATATATATCGATATTTACCATATTTAAAGTTAAAACTGAGAAATTTTAAAGAAACTTATTTGCTAATTTTAAAATAACAAACCCATTATGCTAACATAAGTTTATAAAAAAACCTGTATTTTCCAAAACAAAAATAATTTAGTGAGACAAGAATTGTTTTACATGCTTGCAAATTTCTGTCTGTTTTAATAGAAGACAACTGGATTCTCACATCTGCTTCTGCTCAATCTATTGTAATAAATTGTTTTTGTTGAAGCATATGAAGAAAATCCAGCTTCATACAGATATGTAGTTGGAAATGGAAGAGTAACTGAATAACCTTTTCACATAAATGTTGATTTTTTTTTTATGCTGCATGGAAATGAAGTGGAGTGGTGCTTTCTTAAAGGTTAGCAACAATATGAAATTTGAAACCATATCAATAATCTTTTTGTACTCTGTTACATTAAAATCTATTGGTCTATCTCACACTTTAAATATTTTTACACATGCATGATTTTCTAACATCACACATTGGTCATTTGGAAAATACTGATTCACTAAGTTAAATAGATCTTCTAAATGTTGATGTATTTCATTAAACAATATAAAAAATTATTTGTTAATATCATTTATCTCATCAGAAAAATCTTTAAATATGGGAAAGCTATTAAAAACTCATAGTACCAATAAAGTTTTCCCAAATTCTAATGTTTGCTTGAAAGCTCAAATTTTATCATCGGCAACAATTACAAGTTTTCTTCTTTGAAGTGACAGGCTCACTTTATTTTTCAGAAGATGTCTGTCCAATAGGCAAATCACTATAACTTGTTTTTTTCTGTCAGTTGTTCTTTCAAGTAAAAATGGTGTTCCATTAACAAAAACAGTGGTTAGTTCAGCTTGCAACTAAAAACAATCATGAAAGTGCTTTTTACCTTGATACACTCAGAGCACTTCAGCACAAAGATGTGTTTCATGCTTACTTTTATTTTGTCACATAAAATATTAAGATGCATACCCATGGGTCAAGATTTAATAAAATTAACCATTTTACCATATCCATATAAATACTCTTAGGTAAAATTAGCTTTCATTTTTTTATCTGTGAGTGTTTAGCTGAGGAAAATACAATACCTAGTACAGTAGTCCCCCCACATCTACAGTTTTGCTTTCCAGTTTCAGTTATCCGAGGTCAACCATGGTCCAGAAACTTTAAATGGAACATTCCAGAAATAAACAATACTTAAGTTTCAAACTGGGTATCACTCTTAGTGTGATGAAATTTCTCAGTGTCCTGCTCCATCCTGCCCAGGACGTAAATCACCCCTTTGTCTAGCATATCCACATTGTACACGCTACCTGCCTGTTAGTCATTTGGTAGCTCTCTCAGTGATCAGGCTGATTGTCATGGTCTTGCAGTACTTGTGTTCAAGTAACCCTTATTTTACTTAATAATAACCCCAAAGTGCAAGAGTAGTGATGCTGGCAATTCAGCTGTGCCAAAGAGAAGCAGTAAAGCGTACGTATAGCTAGGGTTCAGTCCTATCTGCAATGTCAGGCGTCGCCTACTGGGGGTCTTGGAATGTATCCTCCATGGACAAGGAATGACTACTGTAGTTTGATGCCCTTTCCCTGATTTGGGCCAAGGTGCCAGCAGTTTTACCCACCATCACTGAAAAAGGCAAATCATATCTTAGAATTATTATGAAAATAATTTTGACAATGCAGATCCCCTGAAGGGGTCTCAGAAATCCCTAGTCGACACTTTTGACAACCACTGTTCTAGAATGATGGGTTCTAGTTTTACACGAAGTCGGAGGCAAAGCTTCAGGAGGGACTTAACACTTAAGTAAAGAAGATGGAAAATGGTAAGGAGAGATTTAATTAGAAAAAAGAAGGCAGGTCAGGGAAGGGCCCAGGTGAAGGTGAAGAGCATGAATTTACAGGCGACCAATCTGTTGTGATTTTTTTGTATCTTGCAGTAATCAGAAACCAGAGTTTAGCAAAGAGAAAGTAAACAAATAGATTAATCCAGAATTGATGGTTTTACCTGGCAGGAAACGGGAGTAGAGAAAATACAGAATCTAAGATAGAAAGGAAAGAGCAGGCTACAAAATGGGGTAGTAGTAGTGGGGCCAAAAAGTTTGAAGCCTAAAAACAGGGAAAGTGGGAGTAGTACCTCAGGGACAGAGTTGAAAAGAGAAAAAGCAGACAAAGAATCTTACTGTGACCATAAAAAGGTTCTAATACTGAATTATAGCGATAGGTGCACAACTCAGTAAGTTTCCTAAAAATCATTAAATTGTGTATACTTAAAATGTGTGAATTCTGTGGCATATAAATTATATTTCAAAAATTTGTTTAAAAAAAAAGACACAGAAGATTGTAGCCAGAAACCAAGATATTTTCATTTAAAATATCAGAGGGAGGACAAGTTCTAGGGTGTGGTCAAATGAGTAGGTAGTTTAAGAAGAATGGAAGATCACGGAAGATGAACAAGTAGAGGAATCAAGAGGACAGTCCCCAAATGATATGTATAGTGTTCATTCATCCCACCAACAGCTACTGACTAACTACCATGTGCCAGATGCTCTTCTAAAAACTGTGGATTCAGCAGCAAACATATAATAGCATGAAAAATCTCTGCCCTTGTGGACCTACATTCTAGTATGATACCAATTTTACATGGAAATCTAAAAAACAGGATGTGTGCTTATATGTACATACATATGTATGAAAAACAGGAGGACATACACCAAACTCTTAAAAGTGATTGCCTCGGGCCAGCCGAGTGGCACGTTGGTTAGGAGCTGGCTTAGGATGCCACTTCTGAGCAGCAGGGCCTGGGTTCGGATCCCACATGAGGGCCTGTGACACTGCCCTCTACAGCTAAGATGGTGAACAACAGCTCGACCTGGAGCTGGGCTGCCATGAGTCGCCAGTGACGGCATAGGCTGTAGTGGGGCTGGCCAGCAGCTGATGTGAGCTTTTGTGAGCAGCCATCCAATGGCCAGCGACCGACTGCCTCACCTGGGAAGAGTACAATGATAATACCAACATGGGCCAGTGAAGTGACGTCCTCCACAACTAGACTGAAGAACAAAAGGACAGCAACTTGTCTGTTCCCCAATGCTGTTCCCCTCCCCCAATTCCCCAATAAAATCTTAAAAAGAAAAAAAAAAAAGTGATTGCCTCTAGGAAAGAGAGTTAAGAGTGAGGGTAAGGTCCGGAAGCTACACTTTCACATTTTACATATATACTATAGCCAATATTTATGCAGCACTTACAGTGTGCCAGGCACTGTTCTGAGTAATTTATAGATATTAACACATTTGATCATCAGAACAGTGTGTACCAACATCAACACTATTTACAGATGAGAAAGCTAAGGCACAGAGAGATTAAATAACTTGCCTAACGTCACCCAGCCAGTAAGCAGCAGAACCAGACTTTGAATGCAGGCAACCTGGTTTGAGAGTCTGGGCTCTTAACCACTACATTATGTATTAGTCAAATACTATAACGAATAATTCATGTGTAAAGGTATTATAAAAAAACAACAGGGCCGGACGAGTGGCTCAGTTAGTTAAGAGCTCGCTCAAGAGTGTGAGCTCTGAGCAACAGCGGTTTGATGTCCAGCCCGTTGCCTAAGCTAAAAAAAAAACAAAAGAGAAACTGTTTTTGTTTTTTTTCACAGAACCCTGTTCTTTTCCTTCATTGTGTGTACAGTAATTTTTGGTTAGACATTTAGGTTCCTTGTTTACTGTCTGTTTCCCCTGCTAGACTATGAGATCCCTAAATGGCAGAAACCATGCAAACTTTGCTCACCAATGTTTACCCAGCAAATTCTACAGTGCATCAAATAATGCAGGCATTTTATAAGTATTTATTAAAAATGTATAAATGAATGAATCCACCAATAAATCAAGGAATTTCAGATAGGCACTATGATAAGATGACTACATAATTTAAAGCAGACTTACTGGAAATAGTGGGGGTGCCAAAAAATGTATACACATGACTTGTATTCATCTTTTGTTATTGGTATATGTTGAGTATTACAATTTGAATACAGTTTTTTCCTTCCTTAAAATGTGTATTTTTTTTGGCATCTTCTATAGTTTAATAAGTATTTCATTACTATGGTCACAAGAAAAATAGATTATACTTACATGTCAAGTAAAAATACAGTTCATAAGCTATTTATAAAAGACTTCTGCAGATTTCATTCATGGTTCCCTCTTAGCACAATTAGGGATTTAAAAGAGACAAAATGATTGAGGTTTACTCTTACCACTGTGCATGCACGAGAGGGTAACAATCCACAGGGATGCATGCTCCATGGATGTGAGGAAGTGTGACTAGAGGGGAGCCGGTACGAGAAACACCATCGGCTTTAAGTGCCTACTCATACTCTACGTAACAGAAACTGTTTGGGGTAAGGCTGGGGGCAGGTTATAGAGAAAATTAGTTTTCACTGGTTACGCAGAGAAGGGAGTAACCACTGTGATTCAGTGAAGTGCTCAATGGCCTAACTTAAGAGTAAACATCACCTCCTTGATGGCTGTGCCTCTCTTGGTGCCTAAATCCACTCTAGAGAAATATCCAATTTGTATCTTGCCAGGAGGTACCATTTGGAACCTTGTACCTAATGGCAGAGAGGATCTTCTGAAAAACAGCACTCAGCACTTCACCAAGGCTCCTTTTACCCTGGCTTGTCACCATATAGAGGAAAAACACTTGTTTTGAACCCTAGAGGATGACTGAAGTCTTCTATGTCCCCTTCCTGCCTTCAATAACTTGAACTCCAGGATGATTGAGAGGATACGCTATAAGAAGAGAAACTTAAGAAGAAAAACAAAACAAAAAACAAACAAAAAAAACCCAGGATAAAAATGTCTAATAAGGAATCAACAGGGTTCTGATACCTCAGAAGCCCTCCCACTCTGGCCTCACTCTCACATTTCTCTTTGCTTTGAAACTGAAGAGCAGATTTCTCTTGGTTATGAACATCTGGTCTGGCCAACGGGGCACAAAGATCATACATGGCAGCCATCATGTCTCCTTATCTACTTCTACAAACTTTCTAAATCTAAGACAAAAATGAAGCAGTTAGGGGTTATAAACCGAGAACCCTTCACCCCTAAAATATCCTTCCTAGAATCTAAGCCATGGGTCTCTCTGTTTATGCATGTGTACATACTATGGTCTCTTTCTTTAATAATGCTACAAACTACATAAGCCTTTCTTCTAGATTTCTTTTTATTATGAAAATACTTAAGTGACAGTTATTCATATTTTATTTCATTTATCTTTGTACCTTTTCACCATTGCAGGATTGTAAAGATAGATCTTCATAAAGTGTCTTTCTTTCTCATGATAACCATAAAAAGGCCTGAAATGAAAGAAAAAAATATATCAAATTATTTTCATTATTCAGAGATGAAATAATGTAACTTATTGCCCTAATCTGACTCAGCTGGTCTAATTCAGTCTTACTTATATTAAATATTACCAAAGAACTCCCCACAAAAGTCAAATAAAACTCAAAGACCTTTCCAATTAAACTTACCACAGGTTACCATATAAAATATTGAAATCTGGTTATTTCTTTTAAAAAGTTTAAAAATACCACTTTAAGAAAATTAGGGACAAAAAAGGAGCAGCAAGCTATTTACACGTTAATTTCAATCATCATGACTATTTAAAAAATGGCTTTTTTCTCTTTGACCATGTACAAGAAAAACAGAGACCTTTCAGGTACCTTATCCTATTTCTCATTTTTTTTCTGTCAAAAACTAAAGCTCTTCTTCGAAGTCCTTTAATTAACAGCATTTATACCACTTTCCTTAATCGTCTGTTTATTATTAACTTTGCAAGTTCATTAGGCAGAGAGGATTTACCTATTTTATGTATGAATGTATGTATGTATGTATGTATGTATGTATATCATACATCCAAATCAAATGAAGCCTGTGAAAACTGTAGAGAGGAACTTAAGAGACTGAAAAAGTACGTGGACTTACTTAAAGACCCTAATTATGCTGAGGCTGGGTCTTTCTTTGGGGATCAGCTAGAATGCGGAAAGGGAGAAACAAAAAAATCTACATGATATGGAGAGAAACAAGTCCTCAAAGTAAGATGAAATAAGTTGGGCTATCATGTTATATCATTTCAAGAGGATATGAAACTATACCAGTACATCTGATATACACACCACCATTTTCAAAGATGATATAATTAGAAACAATATGCGAACAGGTATGAATTTGTAGAATAAATAAAGTTTTGTATCTGCTTAGAGTTTGTCTATAAACAAGTGGTTAATCAAATCTTTAGGTGGCTAAATCCAATCAACTTTCATTTAAAAAATACTGTCCCCATATGAAGGACACTAGACAGAACTTACTCTCATGAGGACACTGCCTCTCTCTGTCATGTCTGACAGTGTAGTGGACATCAAATACAGGAGTAATTTCGCAGTGGAGTCATTATTTGGAGTATATTTAAACAACTTTTTTTTTTCCAGCTGTTTCAAGCCTTTAGGTCAGAACCACCCGTCGGACTGCTATAAAGCAATTTTTATTAAAAAAAAAAATCCAACTATTTACTGAAGTCTAGAAGGTTCTTTATGTCATCCTTGCCACTCGCTCTAATCTTATGTCATACCTCTCTTCCTTTTTCCTCCAGCCATTCTAAACATTTCAGCCCCTCTAACTTGATCGACTTTCAAGTAACCTGCCCTTCTCTCTGCCTGGAAAGCTCTGCCTTGATCCTTTGCATGGGTTGTTTTCAATCGTTATTCAGATCTCTGCTTAAACTCACCTCTTCAGAAAGGATTTCTCTGACCTTCACTTCCTATCCTCGACCCTTCACCCTTTTTTACTTTTTAAAAAAGATAACATTTACCACTTCCTGTTTGTCCCATTTTTTTTTTGCCATGAAGAAAGGGGTGAAAGAAAGATTACATGAATGATCTCATTCTCTCTCACTGACAAAATTCAATTCTTTATTTATTCCTCCTGCTATTGTATTTTCCACATATATAAATATAGCTCTATGTCTGAAGACATGAGTTATCTTTAGTCAGATAAATGGTGAAAAAAGGTACTAAATCTGCACTGGTGTGGTCCATGTTATCTTTGGTTTGTTTTGGTTTTGTTAACAATCTTTAGGTTTTTATATAGAATTTCATAATTTCAAAAACTGAATATAAGACTATCAAACCTCTAAAAATTCTTTGTAAATGTAGGATTCTGTTTTCTTATCTATTGCCCCAAAATATAGGCTGAAAACTATAAATTCGGTTTTCTGCTTCTTCTGGCCAAGAAGTGTCCGTATAACTTACTTCCTGCTGTTGGCCATAGTTGATTTTACCAAAAATCTCAATGGAGAGACTCTTTGGGAGGAAGAAAGTAGAATGGAACAGAGTTTGAGAATAGATGTTTTTATGCTGAAAAAATTATATGCAATAATTAGTTAGTTCTTCAATAGTGAGAAGGAAAATAAGCACAAAAAGAGAAAAATCTCAGTTAATTAACTTAGAATCTCTTTATAGGATATTTTCTAGAATCATGGTAGCTAAGTATTAAAAATGATGTTGTCCTACTTTGAGCACATGATGAGAAGGCAGAGTTCTTTGGAAAAGACAATAATGCTGAGAGAAATAGAAGGCAGCAGGAAGAGAAGAAGACCAAACATGAGGTGGAATGACTCCATAAAAGAAGCCATTAGGCATGAGTCTACAGGAGCTGAGCAGGGCTGTGAGGATAGGACACTGTGGATGTCACTCATTCACAGGGTCGCCAGGGTCTCAGCTGACTCAATGGTTCCTAACACACAAGTGGCAAGGAATCCCAGAAATGAGCCTAAGGTGATGCCATGGTTCTAGTTCTTAACCCAGCCTCAGGATAATGCACAGTCTAGGAAGACTGGAATCAAACCTTGTACAAATTATAATTTGGTAGCTAGATGCAACCTTGTCTAGCTTCAAGAAGTAGGGAACATTGAAGGAGTAAAGGACTCACAGAAGCTAGAATGTATGGTAAGGGAAAGGAGATCTAAGTAAGAAAAAACAAAAAAAAATATTGGAATAGGAGAAAAAGGAGAACGGAAACCATAAATTAGATTGAACAGTTCATCTTTTGCCCCGGGTATAAAGTTGAGATTTATAACTAAAAAATATGGCAATGCCTTTAACAAACGGCCATCAAAAATATAAAAAGATTGGTAACTAATTATTCATTTCACTAGGCTGTTTGGAGATTCAACTTTGAAATGAGAATATGTATAGCAAAATTAGAAAACATTAAACATAAAAACATTAGAAAGCTGATGATTCTCTTTAACATTAACTGTTGCTGTCACAGGATGGGTGTGAACTTTCACCTCATTCATTTATTCAACCAAATCATTATTGACCACTAACTATCTGCTAAGTGCCCAACACCATACAAAGTGCTAGACATATAATGATGAACAAGACAAACCTGGTCCTTTTTCTCATAAACCTTACCTGCTGGTGGGAGAAACACATAAAAATTAAGTAAATAAAAAATTAAAATGGTTACAAGCTATATTAAGTGCTAAAGGAAACAAAGGATGGGCTGAGATACAGAATAATAACAACCTATTTTAAACAGAGAAGTCAGAGAAAATACTGGGCGGGGTGAAGGATTTGAAGGATTGGAGAAGGGTAGAGCACTCAAGGAAAGGAAGCTGCATGTACGAAGATGGGAAAGAGCATAGCACATCGGAGAAACTGAAAGACCAGCGGGAACATAGTGAGCAAAGTTACAGAGACAGCAGGGGTCAGATCACATAGGCTGTGGTTAGAATTTTAGTCTATGAACAAAAGGAAGTCTCTCTCAAGGCTTTTAAATGATTTTAAAAGGATCCATTGTACATTATACAAAGAGTACTTTTGCAGCTCTGGAGTGAGACCAGAATAGAAGGGAATCAATTGAAGGGATACTGAGTTGGTCCAGAGGAAAAATCTAGATTAAGGTGGAAAAAGCATATAGATTTAAGATCTCTACTTGGATTTCATACAGACATCAATTCAGTATGTTCCAGTATGAGCTCCAAATCTTTCTTGCCAGCCTGCTCTACCTGCACCTTCCATCCCATTAGCACAGACTCAACTTTTGTAGTCATCCTTGAATCCTCTCACAACCCTCATCCACTGAGACAGCAAATCTTGTTGACTCAACCCTCAGCAAAGATCCAGCGGCTGACCACTTCTCACTACTCCCCTGCTATTGCCCTAGTACAAGCCACTGTATGTGCTCACCCAGATTAACGGAAGAGTCCTAATGCTTTCCGTGCTTCTGGCCTCATTCCCCTACGATCTATTCTTCACACAGCTGCTAAGGTGATCCTTTTAAACTTAAGCTAGATCATGGCTGCTCAAATCAAGCACTAACTCAGAGTAAAAGCCCAAGTGCTTAGTAAGAACAGACTATGGCAGTGGTCCTCGAACTTTTGTGTGCAACAGAATCATCAGAAAGGCTTATTAAAACACAAATTGCTGGGCCCTACCGCCAAAGTTGCTGATTCATTAGGTCTGGGGTGGGACCCAAAGAATGTATTCTGACTAAGTTCCTGGGTGTATCAGTCCTAGTCCTCTGAGAGGTAGATGCCAAAATATGCAAGACATTTATTAGGGGAAACACCTGTTAGAGAAAATGAAGAGGGACCCAGTAGAGACCCAGGGACAGCCACCAGACGTAGATACAGGTCTCATCCCAAGTGAAGGAGGGACAGAGGTGAGAGTGGTGGGAGTATGGATTGCAGTGTGATGCTAATGAAAGTTCAGAAAGGCTGTCAGTCCTCAGGTAACTCCCGGGCCTGCCTTAGTATCCTTGCAGTGCGTAGGCATGGGCTGGGCTGTGGGTAGTCTATGGAAAGCAGCTTTAGCTGCTCTGGGATGAGATGGATTTTAGAGCAGTAACTGGACTGTTGTTCAATTATGCTCCCTGTATTTAGATATCTGAGAGGTGCATTCTCATGGCAGTCAAACCAGATAAAGCTGATGCTGGTGACCCTGGAAACCAAAGTATAGAAACCATACTTTAGAACCACTGGCGAACATGATCTCCATTTTATCGTCTCTTGAACCTCATTTTGTCCTACTCTCCTTTACTCCCTCTATTCCAGCCACCTGCCTCCATGCTGCTTCTACTCTCTTGCTTTCAAGTCTTTGCTCAAATGTCAAATTGCTTGTCAATGGGACCTTCCTAGATTACCCTATATAAAATTGTCACCAGTCTACTTCCCCACCCCACCCCACTGATCCTTCTTATCCTGTTCTACATCTAGCACTAATTATCATGTAATAAATAAATAAATAAATAAATAAATAAATAAATTAATTTCATGTTTTATCTATTAGTTATTTTCTGTTTCCCATTACTAGACTGTAACCTCCATGGGGGTAGGGATTTTTATTTTGTTCACCAATGTATCCCAAATGCCCAGAACGGTGACTAGTACACAGAATTTGCTCAATAAATATTTGTAGAATGAATTACATAAAGTTCTACAGTTCTAGAAAGCAGAGAAATGGAAAGGGTTAAAACAAAAATCACTGTTAACCATCTATCTTTCATTGCAATAAAAATTTACTTTAAAAAGTTCCATCAGACTAGAAGAAAAAGAAAAATGAGCGTATATTTGAATTGAATGTTTTCTTTTAATTAGAACAGCAATAGAAATACAAATAAATAGAAATTTTAAAAGATGATATCATATACTTACATTCCTGATACTAATGACACTTTGAACACATGCTGAGCAGTGGAAGATGGATTGCCTAAAGCCACATTAAGTGCTCTGTCGATACTGAATGCCATCTGAGAAAGATAGCTTTCTGGCTGCTGTCCATAACCATCGTATGGCACATAGAGGTAAGGAAAGATGCCATGTAGATGAAGACATGTCTTCTGACCTAGAATGTAATACATTATAAAGTTTAGTCTTGAGATGCATTTAAAAATGTTGACATTACAAAGCTCAGAATGCAAGTCATTTAAATGTTCTAATGACAACACAGCTTATCCAAGGTAAAGGTTGAAGAAAACTAACCCATAGTTAAAGCCACCTATATTAACTATATTTTACAACAGACTATTTAGGAGCATTTTATAAACATAAGCATTATAGTATTATTTAAATGATTTTGGTGAAAATATGTTTGAATATTTCCCCCTCACAATCTAACTAGTTTTATATACTTCCACTGAATCATCCTATAATACCACTTAGCACAGTATTAAGAAGCTTACAAAAATTCACTGCAAGTTTACTAAATAAATCAATAAATGTCTGTCTTGGAATATATGTTTTCAAACAAGAGACTTCCCCCTAAAGACAGACAGCTCAGGGTGAAAGGAGAGGGTAAAAAGCAGTGGCAGTGAGTGGAATTTTGCTACTGGGGGGTGGGGGTTGGGAGGGTAAAAATGAAATTTTGCTATTAGGAAAAAAAACAGATAAAATCAAATCAAAAGAAAATCTCTACAGATCCATTGTCTGTAATGGACTTCTGGATATCTAAATTGCACATTTGGTGGAATGGGACATGGGGAGACACATGAGAGGGGAAAAACAAGCATGCACACTTCCCAGGAAGCCACTGTATCAGGCAAGGTGAGAAAGGGGTAAATTGTGCTGACGTGCAAACAGAGAGTCCAGCACAGCCGTGATAAAGTAATATGAGTAAGAACCACAAAAGAAGTGCCACAGAAACAGTAATGTATCCATGACAAGGTTAAGTGACAACAGCAACAATAAAAAGCAGATGCGCCATTACGCTCATGAATCTGGCAGGGCTGTATGGAAGTGGTTCCTGTCCTCTGAGCATTGTCCCCAGTTCCCCTTGGGTCCATGCCATTTGTCTAATTCAGACAGAGAGGAGAGCAGCAGTGATGGAAGAACACATCCATTTTTCTCATGCTGTCACTATCACTGCACTCTCCTGCCAATACAATCCTCCGGCTTCTTCCGCACCCCTTATCCCACTCTGCTTCACTAGGCTTTTTTCTTTTGGTAGGAAAGGAACTATTTGTTGGTTACTATTTCCTATTTATAATTTAGAATGATTTACATAAAATGTATAGAAAATAGTTCTGTGTTCTGTGGGTAAATTGTGCTTACACTTTGTATAATGAAGAACATCAGCTTTTCTTACCCTGAAGGTATAGTTACAACAGAATTAACAAAAAAAATCTGCAACAGTTATTACATAAATGTAGCAAAACTGGAAAGATCAGTCATATAATGGAATAGCATCTATACTATCCTTCCGAGTGTAGTATTCTGATTTGAACTACCAACTTTCACACTTTTGAAGAATTACAAATTGTGTTGCTGTTAGACATATTTCAGTTTCTATTTTTAACAGCAGTCATACTACTTAGTATGGAAGAAATGAAAAAATATTTTCAGTTAAAAGCAAACTCCTTAGCTATTCAGTTTCATTTCTAAATACAACAAGGTACTATTTCCTAAACACTGCAGTTTTTAAATTCTTCACATAGAAAAAATTCAAATTGTAGTGATGAGTGAGTCTTAAGAAAATATAATCAATTTACTGATGACCTACTTGAATGCTTTTTAAACATCTCATACACAGTTATAACCATTACCCTTCTGTACATAAGCTACACTTTGGTTAAAAGCAACTGGCATGCTATAACCCATAGGGTGAGGGAGGCGGGGACACAGAGCTGTATTCCCTTTTCTGTTGACAAATAAATCTAAGACCAGTGATTACAGAACTTAGTATAATAGCATATTTACAAGAAATATTGTAAGTTCCTAAGATATTAATTTTATAGTCCATATATATTAATAATGGAAATTTGGGTAAATTTATGACTCAATTATAAAATCTGAGTTTTACTAATAGTTTCTTTATAGGGAGGGTATTCACAAAGTTCATAAATTATTTTAAATATCCATCTTTCACATCTCCTCTGAAGTAGGGGCCAGATAAATTATCTTTCTATTTACAAGCTTTGAACTACAATAATTTGTGGTATATAATTTAAGAAAAAAGCAGAAATGATTTATTCAGCAGGCAGTGGACCAAGTCCTTTACATATATTTATTTCTAAAACTTGGAATAACCTTGCAAGTATCCCAAAGCTAGCTATTAAGTAGTTGAATCAGGATTTGAAAATAGATCAACAAAATCTACAATCATTGCTTTTTCCATTTGACCATGCTAGTTCAATTTAAAAAAGTTAATGTCGGATTCCTTAATTTTTCCTAGTTTGTACTGTAACATCTGTTTCCTTATCTGAATATCCCATTTGACTGCAAATTCTTTGGGAGCTGGTGCTGTGTTTGAATGACCATAATATCCCCAGGACCTAGCACACACAGTATGTGTTAAATAAATATTTATTAAATGAAGGAATAAACCCTCAGCAAAACAGAATAACTGCTTAAGGGCAAACAAATAGTGTGAAAGCCTTTGAATATTTGAAAAAAAAAAAACCTATGAAAACAGAGGGACTCTGATACAACTATGGAAATACCGTCAGAATTCCAGAAGGACGTGGGTACGGCAGTGTCCCCAGCTTATTGCGCTCTCCTTCCCTGAATGACCCGAGTCCCACACAATGCTGTAGTCACTATAGCCACACAGATACACCCTCCTCTGGTTCTCCAGAGCCTAGCGACCGTTCAGTGTCTTACTCACCACCCTTCCTTCCTCAAGAACAAGCTCCTGGAGAACAAGCACAGCACAAAGAATTCTTGGCATAGCACTAAGGGTTGTAATACAGAATAGTATCACAAAAGCAAATGAGAAACAAGACAAAATAAGAAACTCAAAAAGTTAAATAAGGAAATGTGTAAAAATGAATGTGAAAGTCAATTTCTTTTTAGCAACAGTATGTCTGTTATTATTGTGAAATTTGTAGCTCTGTTATAGCACTGCTTTATCTTGACAAGATACAAACCACTTCTATTTATTTCCCTCCATCAGCTCTACTCCACAAAAATGTGTGGAGCCACACAGCTATGCAATCCCAGAGATAAAATACCTTGACAACCATCAGTTAGGATTAGGTTCGGCTGTGAGAAAACGCCCTAAATTTAGTGGCTAAGGCATTACATTAGTGGCTTCTCTCGCATAAAATTAAGTGCAGAGGTAGGTAGTTGGAACTTGGGACTCAATTTTAGTGGTTTACTTAAGAGGAATTTGTGTCTTCAGTCTAGAGGCTTTTCCTCTATACTCCAAGGAGCTGCACACACAGGATTTTTTAAAGAATGTTTTTATAAAATTAGTGAAATATTCTTAAAGAATTTAGGATATTAGCTATTTCCAGGTAACATGTGGGTCCAAAGAAAGAAAATATCCCTATTTTCTGAATGTCTCCCCTTATTCCCATGTCAAACTAAATTAAGGCAACAAGTCCAGTATGAATAAAGATTGTCTTTGGGAGAATAAGCCTAGGTATATAGGTTTCAAAAATTTTTTAAGTTTGAATTTTCCAATTTCACTGATGTTGCCTAATTCAGAAATTGCAACAAGGCTGTTTCAAGAAAGCTCCATGGAAATTTGTCACAGTGTGACTGCTGGTTTCTAAAGGTGCCACGGCAAAACTCTAGAGTTGGCTGCTACTTTCCACTGTGTGCAAGGAGGACTTCTAAGCTAAGGCAGGTGCATTGGACTAGCCAGTACTTGGGTGCTTTGAATCTCATCTTTCACAGAACTTAGAATTACAGTACACACGAAGTCCTCTGTATTCCAACATTTCTAAGTCATTTCCCCACATTTTCTTCTACATTTTCAGTGTCTGGGTTCGGTCTCTTAATTAATTGTACATCTAAAATCTTGTTACGTTTACTTGTAGCATAATTACCTGTAGATCCATTTTGTAGATCCATTTTTGATAAACAGACTAACATATACCATTACTCTAATTCTGGAGTCTGCAATTTTTTTCTGTAAAGTGGCAGATAGCAAATACTGGGTTGTCAGAAAAGTCATGATGCATTTTTGCAGTGAAAAACAGAGAAAATATACGTCATGACTTTTCCAACAACCCAATATTTTAGGCTTTCTGGGCCAAACTGTCTTTGACACAACTACTTAACTCTGCCATTGCAGCCTGAAAGCAGCCATAAGCAGTACTTAAGCGAATGGGCATGGATGTGTTCCAATAAAATTTCATTTACCAAAACAGGGGCAACAGCTCATCAATAGTAGTTTGCCAATTTCTACTTTAATTCATCATTCAGAATGGAAAAGTTTAATATCTTCATCTTTTTCTTTTTTAAAACAGATTGATTGGTAGCCATAATCAAAGTCAGGCTGGCCTAAAAGTATTTTAGGAGCTTGAATAAGAAATGCTTGATCATTTGCAAACCCCATCTCCTAAATCTCAAACCCAATCTACACAAGATTTTAAATAAAACTCTACAGAGCTACCAAACAAAAAAGTTTGGTATGTGAATAGAAAATTTTGGATTTATAGAATTTTTCATATTTTCTTCTTCCTACAATATCTTTTTAAGTTTTATATTACTATCATTAACTCAATCTGCTTACCTCCAGTCTTTCTTTGTTCCTGTCTTTCTAAATTTTCACTCCATCTTCCCCCCACACACAAACAAAACCACAAAATAAACCAAACAAAACTCCTCATAGTCAAGATTAGTAAACAAGTATTATATCACCTATTCTCATTTTAAAAGTCTTAAGGATGTACTCTTAGCCCTAGAAAGTGCGTTTTCAGAATTTATCCTAAGCAAAAAACTAATAATGTACATGAAGATTTAGATTATACAATTCTAAGACAGTATTACTAACAATGGTGAAAAGAACTGAAGACAATATAAATTTCCCAAAATAGGAGATTAAGTAATTATGGTGTACAGGTATCACAGAATAGATTTATGGCTCTCATACCAAATCCTGCTTGCTGCATGTTTTTG